GCCCTTCAGAGCTCAATGACAGTGCGTTTTTGCATACCTTGCTGACTGGCCGCAAATATTCGTTAGAGATAATCTTCTCAAAGAGTCCAGCAGTTGATGAAGTCGTTCGCGCAAGACCTGGTATTTGGAGTAACCAGAGGGAGGATTAAGCCACCTAAACAAATTCTTCTGGGATATGCTGTAAAAACTCTCACAAACAATGTAGAGCTAGTGTCTATACTAAACCGTTATGGTCATGGTATTTCTTATTCCCAGCTTGAGTATGCAGGTGAGCGTCAAGGCCCTAAGCCAAGAACATATGTTGAAGTAAATTGCCAGGAAGCGTTAGAAAATACCCGAAGGAAAAACCTTTTGTGGGTTTTAGTGTGCCTTCTTTCATTTCTCTCAGGCAGCCAGATCGAATTACAGCACATTGATTTTGGTATTAGAAGATACAGATGTCTTTATTCTTTGAGTGTCATTCAAGTACTTAATTCCGTCTTCAATAGTTTTCAAGTGTGGAACACAAACAAGAGTTAGATACATCAGCATCACGAGTATAGTGCAAGCCATAGATCAAAATTTATGCAGCAGTCTCCTTGGCATGCACGCTTATACTGGTTGCGACACAGTAAGTGCTTTTGCTGGACGGGGTAAGATTGGTGCACTTTGAATTGTCAAACAACAGAGATACTTTCAGGAAATGTTTGACCTCTTAGGAGTGGAATGGGAATTCTCAGATAATCTATTCCAGATGCTTCAGAATTTCACTTGTCGTATGTACAGTTCCCGCCCAGGGACAAACAGCATCAATGAGCAAAGATATAGATTTTTCTGTTCAAAGAGATGTAACATCGAGTCCGACCAACTACCGCCTTGCCCCAAAACATGAGTAAAAACATGAGTAAAAACTTATGTATGTACATTTATTCGACATTGTTGAAAGCTGAGTGACGTCACTTCATCACGTGATAAACCCTATAAAACTACTCATTTGACGTGGTTATCATACATTAAAATAAACTAGTGGAGTCATAGTTTTTAAAAATATAAGCCACTCTTTGTCCCTCTTTTTGGTACCAAATCATCAAATTTGGGGTCCTGGCCCATGGACTAATAAAAAATTGGCTCCTTTGTGCAATTACAATCCATTTTCCCGGCGATATCACCCTCCAAGCCTTATTACTTTCAGAAACCGATTAGCAACACCTGCTGTTTCCTACAGAACGCTCACGATTACCATTTCAAGAATTATTAGAAATGTCTGTTATGTAACTGTAGTGGTGAAACCTGAAATCCGACAATATTGATATAAAAAAAAATAAAAGTGAAAAACATTTCAGAAGATTAAATGATAACTCGGTCAAAAATAGAGCACAGTAACACCAAGAAGCAAATTTGTTATAACAACTTCGATTGAAAGAAATTATCTTCCAAAAACGGGATTTTAATTCCAGTTAAGCTTGAAATTAAAGAAGCAGCAGGGAATTTCTAAAATTAAAGGGAGGTCACTTGTTAAACGTTCCCTAAAACAACAAAATAAAATACAACTTAGACCCTGTTTACATGGAGTGGGGGACCCCGGTCTAGTGAGGTAGGTTTCTTTTGTTTTGTGTCCGCCAGAGCGTGAAAACAAAAGAAACCAACCCCACTGGACCGGGGTCCCCCACTCCATGTAAACAGGCCCTTAATGCAAAAGAGAATAATTGGACGAAGAGGAAAACGCATTTTTTAGCCCCAGAGATTTGTGACTGTTATTCAGTGCTGGTAAGAGGGAATTTTACAGCTATAAATACTCACCGGGAGCCCCCACTCCCAAACGCCCGAAGGTTGGGATGAGTTATGATGGGAAGAGGCGAGCCCGGAGGTGGGAAGGAGCGGGAGCTAAGGTGTCTAGGTTTCTGGTGTCCGTGTTGACGAAGAGAGGAATAAACAGCGTGAAACAGGTCAGTTTACACTAACCTCACAAATATATGCACAATGAGTTCCTCCGCGGATCCACAGATGAGCGGGAATTTAAGTGCACGGGTTCCACGGGCACAGGGAGCGTTTGTGCGTGACGGCCCGCAATGAGAATACCGTGTGACACGAAATTTTTGCGGATTGGCGATTTTTTTTGTTTTGAAGGAACTAATTTTTGCGATTAGGACAGATTAGTTTATCTTGCTGGGAATTAATTTTTGCCATTTTCAGAAAGTACCCAGTACCCAGCATAGATAATATTTTCGCGATTATTGAGTACGTGCAATAGAAATACACTGATTTTCAAACAATAAACCAGTATTTCGTTGTTTTTGACAAGTTGTGATTGAAAAGGCACGATTTCTGAGTAATATGTCTTTGTGTAGCGAATTCAAGTTAGAGAATATTTACTCTGGAGTAAATTTTTGCGGGAAAAATGTTTGTGGTAATTTTTATTTACAGGAACATATTTTTGCGGATCGCTGGAAAAACGACAAAAATCGCAAAAATTAGAAAACCGCAAAAATTTCGTGCCACACGGCAGTCCCCAATACAGTATTCTGCAATGTTTTTCTTTGAGGTGATCGCGTGTGCACTTGATGACATTTCAAACAATCGATTGTAAATGGGCGGACGTCTCAAGAGTTAGACTTTCGTTTAATTACAACCTCTAAAAATAACTTAGGGTGAAATTTACATATCCCGGCCAACGCCCTAAGATTCCTTCTCTGTCTCATTATTCTTTCTTGTTGAAAGCAGCAAAAATCTCTTCTTTCTTTGCTCGTCATCTATACTTATTTTGGCTGTGATTAGATGTCACGTGCAACAGCTTTGCGCTCTGCTGTCAGCTGTGGCGTGCTGAGAGTTCTAATGCGAAAGAAGCAGCTGTTACGACTGCTACCCTTCTCTGCTGGGTTACTCTATGTTATTTTAATGTCTTGCAAAATTATTTTTGCGCACAATATCACTCTTGCATGATGCTTGGTATATGCTCCTGACAAAGGATTGGGGTGAGGGTCAAAAAAGTTTTGTGAAAATTTGTGTTAGCTGCAGTGGCGGTATCCACCTTTTGAACAACTGGGGCCAGGGGTCCGTTTCTCGAAATGTCCGGTAACGTTTCAGGCCTGAAATCAAATATTCAAATCAAAATCTGACGCTATGTTCACACTCTACCTGATAGTTCTTGCGCATTCGCCATATTCATAACAAGATATATACTTTTCTTAGTTCAAAGCTTCTTGTCAAATGCAAAGAGAACAATTTCGAGCAAATTCCTTTTGAAAATAACCAGGGATTGCAAGGAAAAGCAAAACCCCAAGCGATGATTGGCACCTTTGGAAATATTTCCGCCACTGATGAAAATGACTTTTTGCTAGCTCAGTGATACATTCTCCATAGCTAAGTTTTCCGCATCTCATCCTGCAGTTTTCGGCATCTCATCGTCTCTCATCCTCCATCCCTCCATGCTGTGTGAAAAAGGGTGTCGTGCCGGACGAGGTGGCTGAACACAGTTAATACGTTTCGGATGGTCACCATTCATTGGGGATGGATGTTATTTAAGATTCGTGGCAAGTGTAAAGGTCAGATTTGGCACGGACTAAAGACTTCACATTTAAAAAGTAAGATTTCGATCACTGCTATGTGTCAAATCGATGATTGAAACAAGCCTTAAAGTTCGGATTTAGTAGCTAGGTTTGCGCAAAAATGATCCGACCATTAGATTTCCTTATGTATCTGCACAAAGCTTACAATTACTAAGAAAAAACCCTCATTTTTTTAAAAAAACAATAACTTAACAGCTTTTTAAAATTTCTAAGAAAATAGCTTTCATGAGAAACTTAATTTTGTCGTAAAACGCCTTTGTTCAATATTTAGTTTGAGGCTCTGTCGATTGAAGTGCTATATGAACAGAATTTCTGCCAAATTTCGTCAAATTTTAATTAGTAGATTTAATGATTTTGTCCTTTGTTTAATGACTGCTTATGAAAGACAACACTGAACAAGCGCTCTCGCATTGCTTCTTAAGTACGCATGCTCAACACTTCTTCAACACGAACGTTAACGATGCTAATATCCAGCGATCTAGACTCTGCATGAACAAGGTCAAGACCGACCAAGGTACGTGAATAAAAGATCTACTATATGGCCATAAAGAGGACTTTTTCTTAAGGGAACTAAGGCGGGAAATCTTGCCCCCTTTGGTAGCCGATCAGAACATATAGGATTGGCTTCATTTTCCTGCTCGCGGATTTAACCATGTAATAAGCGGACCTTAAGATACATTGTTTCTGCCTAGTACGGGTACGGGTAGCTGGGGCTAGATCAATTTTTATTAAATTTCACGTATCCTCCACAGGCAGTTAGCTAAATACTCAGATGCCAGTCGTACGTCAGTTCATATCGAAGAAAAGAAAAATTAGCTACGTCAATAAAAGTGGCTGAACACAGTTTGTTAGGTGGTAACCGATTCATTCGGCTGCTATTTTAGGCTCATTGCAGTTATGAACTTCAAATTGTCACGCACAAAATATATTTATGAAACTTTACATTTATTAGATTTCTTATGGCAACATAGATGATTGAAAGCCAACATTACATTTGAAATTTCAGTATTGGGTTTACGTAAAATCCAGTCATTAGATTTTCTTATGAATTTGCACCAAGCTTGCCACCAGTAAGTCTTATTTATTTAGTTAGTTATTTACTAAGACCAAGCTGTCTCAGACTCCTTTTTCCAATTTTTAATTTGAAGCTTTCTTTGACTAAATGACATTTGAACAAGATTTCTGCAAAAATTCGTCGAATTTGAATGAGTAGTTTGATATATTATCGTTTCTTTACATTGCCTATGAAAATCAACAAAGTTTTCGCTAAGAACGCATGCTCAACACTCGTACAAAAGTGGAGGGAGGGGAGGGCAAGCCTCACCTAGCCCTGCCCCGTGCAGTTTAGTCTCAGTTTCTCGAACTTCCACCTCTACTGACTCACAATTTGGTAGCTTATATAACTTCTTGTTTGAAAGTGAGCTTTAAATTATTGTGATCGACTGCCATATTATTTCTTCCTATATTACTATTTTCCTGACTTCTAAAACAGAACAAATGCAAACCTTGCCTAAACTCAGGAATTCTTAAAGCGTACACCATTGGATTGATAAAAGAACTGGAAGAATATATAAAATAAGTGAAAAGGAAAATGTTTGAAGATATGTTTTGACCGAAAAATCTTAAAAAACTAATAATAATCGCGGGAATCCAAGAACTCAAAGTACCAACAGATACTAATGACAGGGCTTTCGTTAAACGCTGGAGTTGCATGTCTCTGTTTTGGTGACAAGAAACAGATTTTTGCTGGATCTTTCTCCAAATAACGATGTTGAGGCCGCAAATAGTCACAATTAGTAACAAGCCGTATAAAGTAGCGAATGCGTAAAAAGCTCCTAGACTCAAGCGGAAAAGCAATATATAAGCCGTAGAAAATAAGGTAGCCAATGTCCAAGCCATCAAAATAACAAGCTTGTATGCTCGCCTGGAGATTGTTCGGTGCTTCAGCGGCCAAAAAATGGCGTAAAATCTTTCAGCAGATATCAAAGCAGCGGTAGTGAACGAGGCCATCGAGGAAACCGTAAAAATAATTTTAACAAATGTTGGAAATGCTGAAAAATATAACCTACTGCGAGTCGCCGTTATTAAATAAACAAATAAAGGGAGACTTGCACCTCCCAACACCAGATCAGCAAACGCCATATTTATAACAAGATATAACCTTTTCTTATTTCGCAGCTTCCTGTTAAATGTGAAGAGAACAATTGTGAGCAAGTTTCCCAGGACAATAACTACAGCTTCTGACGCAAGTGCACAGCTCCAAGCGATGACTTGTGCCTCAGAAAGCAATTCGTCCATAACCATGGCTGAAAAGGAATTATTGAGTGACGAAGTTGAAGCTGACATATTCTTCGTTATTGTTCCTGCCATTGCTTTAATTTCTAGAAACGTTACTTTGAAGGTGTACAAGAAACAGCAGAGACGTTTATCTACAACTGCCGGGCCACAAAACTAAGCATTGTTCAGTTAGTCTTATAAATGCAACTGCGTTTGTTTTTCAGTCGAAACTAAAATTCATTATTGTTGACTGAGATTACACCACTGATTGATACTTTTTACCATCTGTTTGCCATATAAGTAATGTCACCACCCGGGGGATTCTCCCAAATTGGGGCTAGATAGGTATGGGCCGCCCGATAGGGTCTCCATCCTTAAATAGGGTATCATTTTTGCCCTTGTTGGCGTTGTGTTCCCTTGTGTGATCCTTAGACAAGGTAACGTTATTGTATCAGCTGAAATTCACGTGCGTAAATTACATTTATAGACCGATTAAAACATAGTCCCAATAATGAGAATATTGGTAAAAAATGATAGCTCTGTCTATGGTCAAAAACAGAGCTAAGTTGCACCACGAGAAGCCGTGCAAAGAGAAATGCAAAGAGAACAATTTCGCGCAAAATCCCCATGAAAATAACCATGCCTTGCAACGACAAAAGCAACCCAAGCGATGATTTGCGCCTTTGGAAATATTTCCGCCACAGATGAAAATGACTTTCTGCTAGCTCAGTGATACATTCGCCATTGCATAGCTAGGTTTTCTGCAAACGTCTCTCATCCTCCATCCCTCCATGCTGTGTGAAAAACGGTGTCGTGTGACGAGGTGGCTGAACACAGTTTAAAACGTTTCGGATCGTTACCATTCATTGGGGGTGGATGTTATTTAAGACTCGTTGCAAATGTAAAGCCCGGATTTGGCACTGACAAAAGACATGACATATAAAAAGTAAGAAATCGATCGCTGCTATACGACAAATCGATGATTGAAACAAGCCTTAAAGTTTGGATTTATTAGGTTTGCGCAAAAATGATCCAGTTATTAGATTTCCTTACGTGTTTGCACAAAGCTTACAATTACTAAGTAAAAAAACCCTCATTTTTAAAAAAAAAAAAGTGAAAAAAAAACTTAACAGTCTATGAAATTTCTAAGAAAATAGCTTTCATGTGAAACTTAATTTTGTCCTAAAACGCCTTTGGTCAAGACTTATTTTGAGGCCCTGTCGACTGAGGTGCGATATGAACAGAATTTCTGCCAAATTTCGTCAAATTTTAAAGAGTAGATTTTAAGATATTGTGATTTGTTTAATTACATTGCTTATGAAAGACAACACTGAACAAGCGTTCTCGCATTGCTTCCTTAGTACGCATGCTCAACACTTCTCCAACATGAACTTTAACGATGCCAATATCCAGCAATCTAGATCCTGCATGAACAAGGTCAAGACCGACCGACCTAGGTGAATAAAAGATTTACTATATGGTCATAAAGAGAACTATTTCTTGCGGCACTAAGACGGGAAATATTGTCGGCTCAGGTAGCCAATCAGAACATAGGATTGGCTTCATCTTTCCCGCTCGCGGATTTAGCCATGTAATATGTGGACCTTAAGATACATCGTTTCTGCCTACGGATACGGGTAGGTCAACATGTTTGACCTACCCATACCCGTACGGGCAGTCTACCCGTATTTACGACTACGCTTAAGGGTAATTTACCTGTACCCGCACACGCAGACGGTGTATATCTTAAAGTCTCTATTGCTAATACCGTGTTATCCGCAGGTGGATAGGTCGGATACCACTATCCACCTGATTTGACCAGCTGGGGCTGGATCAATTTTTATTAAATTTCACGTTATCCTCCAAAGTCAGTTATCTAAATACAAAGATGCAAATCGTACGTCAGTTCATATGGAAGAAAAGAAAAATCAGCTACGTTAAAGTGGCTGAACACAGTTTGATAGGTGATGGGTGGTAACATAAGAACTCCTGCTATTTTAGGCTCATTGCAGTTATAAACTTCAAATTGTCACGCACAAAATATATTTATGAGACTTTACATTTATTAGATTTCTTACGGCAACATAGATGATTGAAAGCCAACATTACATTTGAAATTTCATTATTAGGCTTATGTAAAATCCAGCCATAAGATTTTCTTATGAATTTGCGCCCAGCTTGCTATTTATTTATTAAGACCAGGGTGTCTCAGACTCCTTTTTCCAATTTTTAATTTGAAGCTTTCTTTGACTAAATGACATTTGAACAAGATTTCTGCCAAATTCGTCAAATTTGAATAAGTAGTTTGAGATATTGTCCTTTGTTTACATTGCCTATGAAAATAAACAAAGTAAGAACGCATGCTCAACACTCGTACAAAAACTGAAGGGAGGGGAGGACAAGGCTCGCCTGGCCCCGCCCCATGCAGTTTAGTCGCAGTTTCTCGAACCTCCACCTCTACTGACTCAAAGTTTGGTATCTTCCATAACCTCTTGTTTGAAAGTGAGCTCCAAATTATTGTGATCGGCTGCCATGTTATTTCTTCCTATATTACTATTTTCCTGACTCCTAAAATAGAGCAAATGCAAACCTTGCCTAAACTTAGGAATTCTTAAAGCGTACACCATTGGATTGATAAAAGAACTGGAAAAATATATAAAATAAGTGAAAAGGAGAATGTTTGAAGATATGTTTTGACCGAAAAATCTTAAAAAATTAATAATAATTGCGGGGATCCAAGAACTCAAAGTACCAACAGATACTAATGACAGGGCTTTCGTTAAACGCTGGAGTTGCATGTCTCTGTTTTGGTGACAAGGAACAGATTTTTGCTGCATCTTTCTCCAAATAACGATGTTGAGGCTGCAGATAGTCACAATTAGTAACAAGCCGTATAAAGTAGCGAAAGCGAAAAAACCTCCCAGACTCAAGCGGAAAAGCAATATATAAACCGTAGAAAATAAGATAGCCAATGTCCAAGCCATCAAAACAACAAGCTTGTATGCTCGCGTGGAAAGTGTTCGGTGCTTCAGCGGCCAAAAAATGGCGTAAAATCTTTCAGCACATATCAAAGCAGCGGTAGTGAACGAGGCCATCGAGGAAACCGTAAATATGATTATAAAAAATGTTGGAAATTCTGTGAAACATAACCTGCGAGTCGCCGTTATTAAATAAACAAATAAAGGGAGACTTGCACCTCCCAACACCAGATCAGCAAACGCCATATTTATAACAAGATATAACCTTTTCTTATTTCGCAGCTTCCTGTTAAATGTGAAGAGAACAATTGTGAGCAAGTTTCCCAGGACAATAACTACAGCTTCTGACGCAAGAGCACAGCTCCAAGCAATGACTTGTGCCTCAGAAAGCAATTCGTCCATAACCATGGCTGAAAAGGAATTATTGAGTGACGAAGTTGAAGCTGACATATTCTTAGTTATTGTTCCTGCAATTGCTTTAATTTCTATAAAAGTTACTTTGAAGGAGAAAACGGAGAAACAGCGGAGACGTTTATCTACAACTGTCGCGCCACAAAACTGAGCATTGTTCAGTTAGTCTTATAAATGCAATTGCGTTTGTTTTTCAGTCGAAACTAAAATTCATTATTGTTGACTGAGATTACACCACTGATTGATACTTTTTACTATCTGTTTGCTAGGTAATGTCACCACCCGGGGATTTCCTCCAAATTGGGGCTAGACAGGTATGTGCCGCCCGACAGGGTCTCCATCCTTAAACAGGCTAGGGTATCATTAGGTTCGCGCAAAAATGATCCGGTCATTAGATTTCCTTACGAATTTGCACAAAGCTTACAATCACTAAGTAAAAAACCATCATTTTTTTAATAAGACAACAACAACAACTTAACAGTTTATGAAATTTTTAAGAAAATAGCTTTCATGAGAAAATTAATTTTGTCGTAACACGCCTTTGTTCAAAATTTACTTTGAGGCCCTGTCGACTGAAGTCCCATATGAACAGAATTTCTGCCAAATTTCGTCAAATTTTAATGAGTAGATTTTAAGATATTGTGATTTGTTTAATTACATTGCTTATGAAAGACAACCCTAAACAAGCGTTCTCGCATTGCTTCCTAAGTGGGCATGCTCAACACTTCTTCAACATGAAGTTTAACGATGCCAATATCCAGCAATCTAGGCCCTGCATGAACAAGGTCAAGACCGACCGAGCTAGGTGAATAAAAGATTTACTATATGGCCATAAAGAGAACTATTTCTTGCGGCACTAAGGTGGGAAATCTTGCCCGCTAGGGTAGCCAATCAGAACATAGGTTTGGCTTCATTTTTCCCGCTCGCGGATTCAGCCATGTACTGGCATGGTGTTAATACAGTGTTGCTTTAATTTCTGCTTAAATCTCTAGAAACGTTACGTTGAAGGCGTACGAGGAACAGCGGAGACGTTTATTTACAACTGCCAGGCCATAAAACCAAGCATTGTTATAAGTCTTATAAATGCAATTGCGTTTGTTTTTCAGTCGAAACTAAAATTTATTATTGTTGACTGAGATTACACCATATTGATACTTTTTACCATCTGCTTGCTAAGTAATGTCACCACCCGGGGGGATTCTTCCAAATTGGGGCAAGATAGGTATGCGCTGTCCGATAGGGGATGGTTTTTTTAGGGTCTCCATCCTTAAATGGGGTTTAATTTTTTCCCTTTTTGGCGTTGTGTTCCCCTGTGTTATCCTTAGTTAGGGTAACGTTATTGTATCAGCTAAAATTCACGTGCCTAAATTACATTTATAGACCGATTAAAACATAGTCCCAATAATGAGAATATTGGTAAAAAATGATAGCTCTGTCTATGGTCAAATACAGAGCTCAGTTGCACCACGAGAAGCCGTGCAAAGAGAAATGCACAATTTCGCGCAAAATCCCCATGAAAATAACCACGGCTTGCAACGACAAAAGCAACCCAAGCGATGATTTGTGCCTATGGAAATATTTCCGCCACTGATGAAAATGACTTTGTGCCAGCTCAGTGATACATTCGCCATAGCTAGGTATTCTGCAAACGTATCTCATCCTCTATCCCTCCATGCTGTGTGAAAAACGATGTCGTGTGACGAGGTGGCTGAACACAGTTTAATATGCTTCGGATCGTTACCATTCATTGGGGGTGGATGTTATTTAAGACTCGTTGCAAATGTAAAGCCCAGATTTGGCACTGACAAAAGACATGACATATAAAAAGTAAAAAATCGATCGCTGCTATACGACAAATCGATGATTGAAAGAAGCCTTAAAGTTTGGATTTATTAGGTTTGCGCAAAAATGATCCAGCCATTACAGTTCCTTATGTGTTTGCAGAAAGCTTACAATTACTCAATAAAAACCCTAATTTAAAAAAAAAACTTCACAGGTTTTGAAATTTCTAAGAAAATAGCTTTCATGTGAAACTTAATTTTGTCCTAAAACGCCTTTGTTCAAAGCTTATTTTCAGGCCCTGTCGACTGAGGTGCGATATGATCCAACAGAATCTCTGCCAAATTTCGTCAAATTTAATGAGTAGATTTTAAGATATTGTGATTTGTTTAATTACATTGCTTATGAAAGACAACACTGAACAAGCGTTCTCGCATTGCTTCCTAAGTACGCATGCTCAACACTTCCCCGATATGAACTTTAACGAAGCCAATATCCAGCAATCTAGACCCTGCAAGAGCAAGGTCAAGACCGACCAAGCTAGGTGAATAAAAGATTTACTATAAGGCCATAAAGAGAACTATTTCTTGCGGCACTAAGGCGGGAAAGCTTGCCCGCTCGGGTAGCCAATCAGAACATAGGATTGGCTTTATTTTTCCCGCTCGCGGATTCAGCCATGTACTGGTGTTAATACTGTGTTATCCGCTGGTTGCACCAGCTCGGTATAGGTCGGATAGCGCTATCCACCTTTTTTGAACAGCGTATTCGAACAATTTATTAAATTTCATGCTACCCAATACAAAGTCAGATTGCTAAATACCCAAATGCTATACATAAGCCGAGTCAGTTTAAATCGAAGAAAAGAAAAATTGGCGTGGCTGAACACAGTTTGATAGGTGCTGAGTGCATGGTAACCATTCATTAGGCTGGTATAGTAGGCTCGTTGCAGTTATCAAGTTCATTTAAATTTGGCACGCGCAAAATATATTTATGAGACGTTACATTTATTAGATTTCTTATGGCAACAAAGGTGATTGAAAGCAAACATTACATTTTCAATTTCAGTATTAGGTTTACGTAAAATCCAGCCATTAGATTTCCTTATGAATTTGCATCCAGCTTGCAGTCAGTACGTCTTATCTATTTATTAAAAAACAAAAAAACAACAAACAACAAACAACTTAACCAAATGGAATAATCAATTTTTAAAATTTTTAAATGAATAGCATTCATGTACCCGTTGTGTCGACTCAGATTCAGCCTAGTTCCCAGGTGTTCTCTCTTGCCCTCTTGTCCGCGCGAAGTCTTGGAATTCGGTGACGTCACAGCTCACGGTAGATTCCAGCTTTGAACGAGCCGAAAGCGCATGGAGATCAGGCTCTCTCAGACTCCTTTTTCCAACTTTTAATTTGATGCTTTCATTGATTAAATGAGATTTGAACAAGATTTCTGCCACATTTCGTCAAATTTGAATAACTACTTTAAGATACCGTAAAATTCCGAAAATAAGCACCGGGGCTTATATTTTTCAAAGACCCTTTTTGAGGGGCTTATTTTTGGAGGGACTTATATTCGGAGGGGCTTATTTACGGAGGGAAATTTGCATTTCTAAATCGATTGGGCTAACCTTATAGTTGGAAGTAAATTTACCGTTTTTGCTTTGTTTTACTTTGTATTTGAGGGTAATTTTCCAAGTACAAGCCCCCGGGGGGGCTTATATTTGGAGGGGTGATGTAACGGAGGGTTTTTTGCGTTACCCGTTTAGGGGGCTTATATTTGGAGGGGCTTATACATGGAGGGGCTTATTTTCGGAATTTTACGGTATTGTCGTTTGTTTATATTGCCTATGAAAATCCACGAAGTTGTCCCCTAAGAACGCATGCTCAACACTCGTACAAAACGTGGAGGGATGGTAGGGCGGGGCTCACCTGGCCCCGCCCCGTATACGGTTCAGTCTCAGTTTCTCGAACTTCCACTACTACTAAGTCACAATTTTGTATCTTCCATAACTTGCGGTTTGAAAGAGAGCTGTAAATTATTGTGATCGGCTGCCATATTATTTCTTCCTGTATTACTATTTTCCTGACTTTTAAAACAGAAGAAATACAAACCTTGCTGGTCGGCTGCGGCCATATTAAGTCTTTCTATATTTCCTTTGCTGTCAATCAATGCCCGTCTTCTAAAACAGCATACATTAGGCAAAGCTTGTTTAATCTCAGGAATTCTTATTGCGTACACCACTGGATTGATAAACGAGCTGGAAAGATACATAAAATAAGCTAACAGCAAAATGTGGTCATGTATGTTGTATCCGAAGGAGCCTATTAAATTGCAAAGAGATATAGGGATCCACGAAATCAAAGTAAAAGCAGATACATATAATAAGCCTTTTGTTAAGCGCTGCTTTTGAAAGGCTCTATTTTGTTGATGACAAGGAGTTTTCTGCTTAAACTTTCTCCAAATACCGATGTTGAGGCCGCAGATAGTCAATACGAGAAGCAAGATGTATAAACACAGGTAACTGTATAACGTCATTGGGCTCCAGAAAAGTAGGACATAAACCGTGGAAAACAGGATAGCCAACGTCCACACCATCAAAATAACAAGCCTGTATGCTCGCGTAGAAAGTGTTCGGTGCTTTAATGGCCAATAAATGGCGTAAAATCTCTCAGCAGATATCAAAGCAGCGGTAATAGACGAGGCCAGTGAGAAAAAGGCGCAGATGATATTGCGGAAAAAAGATATTTCATATGATGCCTGGTTTTCAGGAGTCACCAGGAAAAAAATAGAAGAAGGGAGATAGATACCTCCCAACATCAGATCAGCAAACGCCATATTCATAACAAGATATAAACTTTTCTTTTTTCGAAGCTTCTTGTTAAATGCAAAGAGTGCAATTGCGAGCATATTCCCCAAGACGACAGCAACAGCTTGCGCCGAAAAAGCAAAACTCCAAGCGATGGGTTGTGCATTCGAAAAGATTTTCGCTCTTGATGAAAGTGAAGAAGAAGAGGTGTTAGCTGATACATTAGTCATTGTAAGTTTACTGCAAACAGTCACCTATCTTCAATAATATGTCAGTGAAGAAACAGGGCTCTGTAACGACCTTAATCCAGTCAGCGCCAAGTGTTTCTGTCAAGGCAGTTGCTAGTTTTTTTTTTTATTTGAAGCTAAAATCTATTATTGTTGACTGAATAGGTTTTAAATGATGTCCCGTTTTCTACATAATGAAAGATTTGACCTCTCTGGTGCACAAACCATTTGCTTAGTGGTATCACCCGCTAAGCAGTTTTCGAAAACCGAACTGTATAATTCGCCACCTGCTCCATTTGGAGAACATTTACATAAGTTAATTCACCAACTCAGGGAATGCTACGAGTATTTTTTTGAATTTGATATGTATAGCTTGAACACAAAAGCCTGAATTCGGCTAATATATTGCTGTGAGCTCAATAAAAGGTCAAACTAGTTTTTTGACTCTGAGATTTAAACGAAATGCAACTCCCTCCATGACTGAAAATTATCATCGAAGAAGGGACTATAATTCATGGCTAACCTTAACGAAACTAAAGCAGTTTACACCTAAAGGAAGCAGCGGGACACTTGTACATGTTAAGTGCTCCCGTAGTTTTGAAGAATAGAAGAAAAAAATGTTCATTTCCAGAACGAAATATAAAGTTAAAAGTGAATGATACAAATACGCTGAAGTAACAATGAAATCTCGGCAGAGTTCTGTCCCTAAAATGTCATTTCATTTGTCAGTATACTTAGACTATTAGGGATCAGTAATCAGCCAGAATATCTAAAATGAATATGAAGCGTCTTTACTTGATATTTTTTACATACTGCTGGATACATATTTTATTAGGTAAGATCGTGAAGATTAGTTGTGCAACACCTCAAGCTATCATGTTTTACTGATGCGAATAAAACAGAACAAAACAGCTGTCTACGGCTGCCACTCCCCGCTCTTCAGATAAGTGCCACTGGAACAACCGTTCATTTCTTGAATCTTCAAATAAGGGCGCAATGAGCGTTGGAAACATTTTGAATGGACAATAATGACGTCATCATGGCTTGATGACGTCAACAAGTTACAACATGAAATGGGACCGTCCTCTTGCCAAAATTTCAAAATGGTCGGACACCCATTGCGAGAGAAAGGAGACTATGCTGATTGGGGATTTAGGCCTTTCCGGAAAATGTCAACACTGACAAACTTTACCTTTTTTTGTTTCCATGGTTTATTTATATGCAAATTTTCTTACATTATGTCAGAGTCTATTGTTTCTTTAATTAGTTAATTATTTTACTTTTAAGTTTCTGTTGTTATCCAACGGTTAATTACGTTTAATTATTTCTGAAGATGTACATGTTGGAACAAACGAAACGTCAAGTTAAAGTTCTATTTCTTTCCAGAGATGCCTTATTATATTGTTACATTGTTTATGAAAGACAACATAACAAGCGTTCTCGCATTGCTCCCCTAAGTACGCATGCTCAACACTTCTTCAACATGAACCACGCCAATAGCCCTTTGTCACGTGGCGACCATTTTGTCTCAAAAGATTTAAAAAGCTTTATTTATGCCCGGCTAGCCTCGTAGAGAGAACGAGGCTAGCCGGGCATAAACAAAGCTTTTTAAATCTCTTGAGACAAAATGGCCGACACGTGACAAAGGTCTATATCCAGCAATCTCAAGACCGAACAAGTTAAGTGAATAAAGGATTACCGTTTAGCCATAAAGAGAACTTTTTCTTGCGGCATTAAGTGGGAAAACTTACTAACTAAAGGTAGCCAATCAGAACAAAGGATTCTCTTTATCTTGCCCGCTTGCGGATTCAGCCATGTGCTGGTGTTAATAATGTTATCCGCTGGTGGATAGCTCAGATAGCGCTATCCACCTTATTTGAAAAGCTGGGGCTAGATCAAATTTTATTAAATTTCACGTCATCCTCCAAAGGCAGTTAGCTAAATACCCAGATGCTATATGTAAGTCAGTTCAAATCGAAGAAAAGAAAAATTGGCGTGGCTGAACACAGTTTGATGGCCGGGTCGTGGGTGGTAACCACTCATTTGGCTGTTTGTTCAGTCGGAATTTGTAATAACCGCTTGTCGCACTTTGTAATAAACTTGAAATGGATGGTCGGAGGACAAGTAACAATAACAACAACAACAACAACAATAATAATAATAATAGAAATAATAATAACAATAATAACAGTTTATTCATTCCAATTTCATGGAATAATTATCTGCAGACACATTTTATAGATGGCCTATCTTACATAATGTGGTTTTCAATAGGGCACAGCCTAAAAACTAAAAACTACAGTACTAAAAATGACAAAATATTAAAATAGATGAACTAAAAAATGTCACACTAAGCGAACTTTTTGAGATTTGAAATGTTTAAGTGATGAAATTTTAAAAGCATTATAAGGTAGACATCTCATGGTCTTCTGAAGGGAATTCCAGTATGTCAATGCACTATGTAAGGATCTGAGTAGACCCCAGTTTGTGTTTGATCTAAAAGATCTAATAGTTTCCTTGGAGCGGGTGTTATGGCTATGATAGTCTGAGCCTCAAGTAATCATACTGTTTCTTCACTGTCATATATAAAAACACCGTTGCATTAATCTTCTGGTCCATAGATTCATCCAGTTAAGATCTTTAGTTGACCAAGAATGCGTCGCTCGATCCGGAACTGGCTTGGCTGCTTTATTCTGAAGAACTTGAATAGAATCCATTAAAACTTTGTTATTTTTGTCACCCTATACGATACTTGCATATTCAAGAATAGGAATGACCATTAACAGGAGCCCATCAAATTGATGGGCTCCTGCCATTAATTGTTGACGCATAGATCCTTCTTGCATAAACTGAGAGAAGTTGCTTGATTCGTTTTAAGACACCTTAAAGTCTCTTTGCTATTTTATTATGTAGCTGTTCAATGTGGTCATGGCAAGAAAGATGCTGGTTTATGATCACTCCAAGATACTTGAATTGGCAACGTTCTCCAATTGATCATTGTTGGATACAAGAGCTGTGTCACTGAATTGACTTAGTTTGTTACGTCCTCCAATGACCAAAAGCTTCGACTTGGTAACGTTTATTGTCAGCTTATTGTCATGTAACCAAGATGTAATAGCTGCCAAGTCTGCATTGAGCTTTGATTGCAAATTGGATGGCGAGTTCTCATGACAATAAAATGCCATGTCATCAGCAAACATCGTCATCTTTGAGTGCTGCAGTTCAGATTGAATGCCATTAATATACATCAAGAATAACAATGGTCCCAAGATGCTGCGCTGTGGTACTCCTATCGTGATTTTTGCTGGGGTAGGGCAATGCATTAACACACATCGTTTGTTGAACTCGACCAGAGAGCTATGAGTGGAACCATTCCAAACTTTTCCCTGCTACTCCTAGTGACTTGAGCTTGTTGATGAAGAGCAGATGATCAACAGTGTCAGACGCCTTGCGAAGGTCTACGAACATTGTTCCCGTCACACATCCTTTGTCCATACTTTCTAGGACTTGATCTGCAAAGGCGGTTAAGGTAGTGGAAGTTGAACGCTTTAGTCGGAAGCCAAGCTGTGATTGTGATAATAATATGGTTTCTTCCAAAAAGGAACTCAACTGAATATGTGCTGATCTGATCTTGCTTATAGTTGGTAAGATTGAAATCGGTCGATAATTGTCCTTTAATGACTTATCTCCATCTTTAAATAATGCAGTGACTTTTGCACACTTCCAGACCCCTGGAAACACTCCATCAGTGAAAGATTTATTGATCAAACCAGCTAGAATTGGGCGATGACGTCAGAAGCGTCCTTCAACAAACGAGCACTTAATTAGCTTATCAAGTCCAACAGCTTTGTTAGGTTTAAAGGATTTAGGGACTGGTTAAAAAGTATAGAGGGGGGTGGGCCGGAGCAGAGAGGGGGTGGGTCATGAGGTTTTGAGCCTTGTGCAAGGGGTGGGTCGTGCAATTTTCAGCTACCCTTAGGGGGTGGGTCACCCTATTTTTTACTAACTACTAACGAGACAGTTGACTACACTTGTTATATAAAACACAGCCAACTGGAATTATTACTAAAATACTCACAAACCTGTTGTGCGAGAAAATACAAAGGTTGACAGGCCGCACATCTATACGGGCGTGGAACCCTCTGTGAACCGTCTTTCTTCTTTTTTTGTAAGGAAATGATTGGAGGTTCTTTAAAAATTTATTGAAGTTATAGTTGGTTTTGTGTAAGATTCCATTTTTTCATTCAAGCTTCCTTTATACTGGACACTGAGGACTGGTATTGTGTCACGAATGACAATATTTCTTTTTCCTCCTAGTTGTTTTGTTTTTGGAATTTAGACTCCCTTTTGTGAATTTTATTTCTGATAGTAGGTTTTCTATCAAAGATAGGGGGCACCCAACGAGAATATACTTCAAAACCAATTTAAACAGTAGATATAAGCATATTTTTATCCCCTAAAAACTTTCCATCTGTTCGGTTCTCCTAGCTGAAAGTCTAGTGATACGAAAATTATAGGGATCAAAAAATAGGCAATTATACCGTTTTTTTAGATGTTCGAAAATCCTAGGAGGGGCAGACAAACAAGAAGTTTTACAACAAATGTTCCGAAAATTCTAGATCTCAAATCGTCTTTCGAACAGATATTTTCCGAAAAATTGACGTTGGGTGCCCCTGAAAGGTTGTAGCCTCCGTCCATCAAGCGTTTTTTTTTTAATTTGAATTATTTTCCTCAAAGGTTGTTTCTGAGGAGTTTTTTCGTAGGATTCTTAAGGCTTCTCCTTTGACAAATTCTTTTTTTAACATTTGGAGGGTGACACGAGGTGAAATGTGTGTGCAAGAAGCTTTCCGTTTGTTTAAAATGTGTCTTTGCATCAAGGATAGATTTTTCCTTGAATCTTGTGCCTTTGTATACAACCGTGTCTAAAAACGCAGTCTCAGTGTCAAATGTTTCGGCCGTGAATTCATTAGTTGGGTGATGTAAGCTTGCTTGTTCAATGAAGG